ATTCTTTCGCATTTTCTCAGCCAACCACTCGGCCTTACGACGAGTGTTGCAGAATATCACTGACTGCGTAATCGTCAGGGTATCATAGAGATCACACAGGGTCTCGAACTTCCACTCCTCTCGCTCCACAGCAACAAAGAACTGCTTTATTCCCTCCAAAGTAAGTTCATCACTGAAAAACACAACAAACCTCCTAGAATTCACCAAATATATACACATATACCACCACTGTTCTTAATTAAAAGTTCTTTAACCACCTAGAAGAGATCTACACTCTCATTCTCTACTCTAAGTTGGCGCACTCTTGCATACACACTTCCTCAATCAATCAAAACATCTGAACCAACATCCACACACAATTCTCTATCCAACAATAAGTAGACTAAATTAACCTTTTCAAAAACACAAGGAAACTGATCACCAACTCATCTAGCCAACGTGCACAAGAAAATATGAAATCTCCAAGTAATTAACAACTCCGAGACAGACACGTATGACAACGAAAGTTAACGCAACGAAACAAAGTCCTCAAATTTTCTCTTACCGTTTGACGAGAATACGGACGGGATCCGTCATGAACTTGGAAGTCATCTCGAGAATATCATGCGGCATAGTGGCTGACAATAATACCACTTGAGTTCCAGGAGGTAGATAACGATATACATCGTAAATCTGCTCCTTGAAGCCCTTATCCAACATCTCATCCGCCTCATCCAATATCAGCAATTTGATAGTTCTCGTGCGAAGATTCCGCCTCTTAATCATGTCTACAATGCAAAAGAACAGAGTTTACCAACAGGCTAAACATGTAATCACAAATGAGTGCTGAAATTCCTTACCAAATACCCGACCAGGGGTTCCAGACACAATGTGCTGACCGTAATCCAATTTTTTTATATCTTCACCTACATTAGTTCCACCATAACAAGCATGACACTGCACATTCATAAAATCTCCCAATCCCAGAATAACCTTCTGGATTTGCAACGCCAATTCCCGAGTAGGTGATAGAATCAGCACTTGTGTGTCACGAAGTTGAGTGTCCAAAACTTGCAATGATGCAATCGCCAAGGTAGCTGTCTTGCCGGTTCCTGATTGAGCTCTAAGGAACAGCACAATTATAAAAATTCAAACACTTACTGAGCTATAACATCTTTTCCAATAACTATCTGTTTAATAGCACGCTGCTGAATTGCAGAGGGTCGTTCGAATCCATAGGCGTAGATACCTCTGAGAAGATCTTCATTCAAATCCATAGAGTCGAAAGTGGGAAGGACGGCCACATCTTCAGATGTTTCGAATTCCATATTTTTGAAATCATCATCGGGATTAGCTCGTTTGCTTCTTGCTTCAGACATCTTGAAACACAATGTACATGATAAATTTATAGCAAATGGAACATTAACAAAAAAACGAGGGCCAAATTTACAAAAATTTTATTCTAGAACTACAAAATAATGGATACAGCGAAGCTAATATTTCCAAGGGTCAACACCCTGTGGAATTTTGCGATCACGATAGAGAGCACTTTTTCCTTTATAAGTATCAACTGCGAACATTTCCCAATTATAAATCCAACGCGAAACACCGTATGCCGCCAATGTACCTACTACCGCCGACGAAACTATTGGTCCACCTTTCAAACGAAACCAAACTGGTATACCCATTCCGTTAAATATTTGTGCAGTTATCTCGACGACCTACAAGGGGTAAATAATCAGCAGTAAAAAATGCGAAATTTGCGCCCCTAATCAAGCCCACTTAAACACGCAATTAATATATATTTCAGCTGCGATTTCTAGATAC